CCCAGGTTTGTTACAGTGCCAGCAAAGTCCCTCAAACTTCTCTGAAAGCTGCACTTTTCTGGCTTTGAATCCTTATGACTTTTTGTTGTCTGGGGCTGATTAGGTCCATGGCTAATATATCCTCATTGTGTAAAAAACAGTAAATCGTCCTTTAATGTATTTAATTCACTTTGAAATTTACTAATTCTTTCCATTTGTGTATGCTAGCTTTCTCTCAACTGTTGGAGACTTTCTTCCTGTTTCTTTTCTTTTTCCTCCAACAACTGCTGTAATCTCTCTCTTCTTGTTTCTTTTCTTTTTTCTCCAAAAACTGCTGTAATCTCTCTTCTTGTTTCTTTTCTTTTTCTCCAACAACTGCTGTAATCTCTCTTGTTTATTTTGCTGTTCGAGCTGCCACTGTTGCAGGTTTTCTTGCCACTGCTAATGTCTCTCTTCTTGTTTCTTTTCTCGGTTCTTCTTGTTTCTTTTACTGTTCTTGTATTGCTGCCATCAAATCTGCTAAATCGTAGCTTGATTTGCCTCATCTCATTTCCATCTTTTTTTTTCTTTCTCTATCCCACTAGTGACACCAATTTGTTACGTATACTCTCGTTTGTTAATTTCCGGTATAAATTCTTTCCAGAGGAACTTCAGCAATACAGGTCCTTTCTTAATTAAAACTCAATTATTCTTCCTCGATACAACTTTTTGTAATACACAGAATTTCCACAGTCACTTTAAATTTAACAACCTTTATAACACACGCTATAAATCACAGTGATTCACACACTTTACTTATGGTGCCGACTGTTCGCTCGACTCAATTATCTATCTCTTCAGTCTATCTGGATATCTATATATCGCTGACTTTATTTGCTGGGCTTATATACTAAAAAAGAGGGCACCTGGCAAACACTCAGACATTTGCACGGTTCCTCAATAATTTATGATCCTTCGAGAAACTCCAGTGCACATGCTCCCAGTGTCGCGTGACTTCCGCTGTCGTAACACCATGTTATTATCCACCTTTTATAAATAAACTGGAAATGTTATAAGGTATGGTGATAATTATTAGAACATCATGTAAATAATTCTGGCAGAATGTGTAATAATTTATGAGTTTAAAGAGGTAAAATGGTTTTTGTTATTTTAAACACTGAAGAAAGTTCTAAAAATTGAAAACATTAAGTATATCTCAAAGTGGTACAAACATCTGATGAGGGCTAAACCTGGTTAAAACTACAATTCTCCTTTAGTCATTATATGGGATTTGTTATTGAAAGTTAACTAATACATTACTTTATTAGTAGTGTATAAATGCTAATCTAGATTATAATGCCACATTTTAATACTATTTTTCAAAAACTCTTGTGGATAATTTCCAATAATTTTGTAATGAATGTTGACATGTATGTGAAACAGCTTTTGTGTAGTATTAACAGAACATGTCTGCAAATGTCAATTTATGACTAAGGATTTGCAAATATATCATTTCAAGCCATCATAAAGACATCTTGTAAAATTTGCTGGTAAAAATACTAACAAATGCAAACTTTTTAAACTAAAAGAGAAAAAAAAACAGCTCAAAATCAAAGTGAATATAACCTTCTTGTCTAGTGTAGTATTTCACCTACCATAAAATCAATGAGAAGAATGAAGGTGAGCGTTCCATCAGCTAATTGTGGAGAATCTGTCTCACAATCAAGACCATCCCAGTTGCACTCCTCATTGTTGCATCCATAGTCACAGTAACCATTTCCATAATTAAGGAGACAGTATGAATCATACATTTCACTAGACAATGAAAATATAAGCACATAAGCATATCAAAAAGGAACTGACATTTGTTTTATTTACTTAACAAAATTTGATTTGGGTCCACATTTTCAAAAGGATTAGCCTAAAAGCACATGTATTTCAGAAATATAAAATTATCAAAAGTGATCATCTTTTTAAACCATTCCATGAAAACATTCAGCAAACTAATCTTTTCTCATACCTTATTTCTAAAAAGAACCAAATATTTACATAAGCACTGCACACTTTTCAGTTACTTACTTGCAAGATGGTAGTTCTTGAATGCAATCAAAGCCATCAAAGAGACAATCTGCATTATTGCACTCAGCATTACACTCTCCATTGCGGAAAACATTCCAACAACTAATGGTTGCAACACACTTAAGCCATGGATTTGTTCCTATAAATACACACTTGGTTTAAAAATTATGCAGGACATCTCATCAATAGTCCAAATCAAGAATACACTTGGTTTTAAATGATAACAAAAATGAAACTATAAGAGGATTCAGCTCAGTTTCTACACTCACATATGAAAGCAAAAATCATGGTCTCACAAAGGTTGAAGAAATATACATTAAATTGTTAGTGGTTTTACAAAAGTTGAAACTTATGTTAAATTCTATATTGGTTTTATAAAGTTTGGAGGATTTTATATTAAAGTTTTATGGTGATCTTATAAAGACTGATGAGTATTACATTAACTTCTTAGGCAGTTTTAGAAAGGTTGGAGAATTTTACATTAAATTCTTTGGCAGTTTAGAAAGGTTAGAGTATTTTACATTAAATTTTCATGGTTATATCTCTCAGAAGGGTTGAAGAGCTTTACAGGACATTCTTATGCTTGTGTTACAAAGATTGGATAATATTACATTAAATTATTATTATTCTCCAAAAATATTGGACAATTTTTATGGTGGTATTACAAAAGATTGAGAATTTTTATGCTGAATATGTAACAAAAATATGGCATTACAACGTTGGAGAGTTTTACAATATATTGCAACTAAAGTACATCCTTTATATTTAGGCCTGTGTGCTTCGAAGTAAAGGAAAACTGAAGCTCATTGAGAACTTACAAGAATGACAGCCAAATGATGAATATTACTTACTTCTGTTTTCTTGAAAAAAATTCTGTATTCATTAAAACTCTTTTGTAGTTATGCTTAAAAACACTCATATATAAATTTAGCTATTACAAACAAATATAAGTCTTACTTAGAGAGCAGTCTCCACCATCAAAATTACACATATCATTATTGCACTCCTCATCACAGCGTCTATTTCCAGCCTTCTTTTTACATTTGTTTAACTCACACTTTTTCTTCAAGTCTATGGATAATAATTAGAAAAAACATAAATACAAAATTACACACAGCTTTAAAAAATAAACAGAAAAAACTAGAAATAGTGGCAATGTTAAATTATGTAAGGCTTAATTGATTTTAACAAAGTGTACAATTGCCTATAAAAGTTAATTTACATGCTATTAAGCATAAATGTTATAAAACTTTACATTAAATTCTTTGGCAGTTTTACAACGGTTGGAGAATTTTACATTAAATTCTTTGGCAGTTTTACAAAGTTTGGAGAATTTTACATTAAATCATTTGGCAGTTTTACAAAGCTTTGAGAATTTTACATTAAATTCTTTGACAGTTTTACAAAGTTTGGAGAATTTTACATTAAATTCTTTGGTGGTATTACAGAAGGTGGAGAATTTTACATTAAAAATTTTTGTTAGTATTCTTAGTTAAATGAATAACACATTATTACGATTGAAAATTTGAATTAACTGACTTGACAAAAAATTAAAAATGTATCTAATGAACTCGATAATAATTATGGTAAACACATTACATATTGACTCACCAATTATTGCAGGCACCTTAATTTATTTATCATATTCTGATACCAAACGTGTGAAACATTTAATTTAAACAATTTAATAACTGATGAAACAAATGTCAATTAAACCATATTTCATATTACCATTTTATCCAAAAATATAAATAACTGTACTGGTATTAGTATAATGTGGATAAGTTAAGGCTCAGTGTTACCAACAACAGTAAAGTATGATAGTCTATCTTTGAATAAACTTGAAGACTGCTCAAAGTTACATATTTTAAGAAATCACTAGTGTTTTAATATTTGTGTCATATGTTTGGATTTTTACTGATAACCCTCTGAATTCATAGTTTAGAGACTAAGTATGTTAGTTTTGTAAACAGCCTGGCTGTAATATAGCCTTTAATTATAGTATTCTGGCACTTGTGTATAAAGTTAAAATTATAAATAATATCCACATTAAACTGGTACACAATTAAAAACATTTTATTTAGGCCTATCTATGGCCTTCAAAAAGTTGACAACTCTACATGTTTCAACGTTATCACTCCTGAGGATGCCGTTGTAACGTCAAAACATGTAGAGTCGTCAACTTTTTGAAGGCCGTAGATA